GTAAAATTATAAGCACCATATAAGCACCAAATACGTAATTCAAATGTATTCGCGACAAGCTTAAAGTCGCTCCGACAGACGCATGTAGCCCGTAGTGTGAAACAACTGCCCTATAGTATTTAGGTCTGGCGACTTCACTGGCCACACCGCACTGTGAACAAACACCCTCTTTCTCTAGAAAATTATTGACCGGTTTTCTTCTATGTCAGTGGTCTCAAACTTAAATTGCCTTCGGGACGTATGCTTTCTGGTTCACGAGAACATAGCTGACGGTCCAGAAATTTTTTAACAAAATAAAAAATAATTAAAAAATAATAAAAAATTTAATAATAAAAATAATAATAATTTTAAAATAAAAAATAATTTTAAATGTATTTAAAATTTCACTTACTAAGTGTTTCGCAAAACATACGTAAACAATAATAATAATAATAACGCAAATTAAATAAAGTCTAACTTACATTTAATTTCGATCTGAAATCTAAAATCTGGTATCCGTAAGACATTTTTGTTAGTTGTTCTTTGTAATTCAAATACAGTAAGAGTTAAATATTAAATTTTCAAATTGACGTTTATTTAAAATAGTTCTAACATGTTTAATTAATTATAAAAGAACTTAATTAATAACTTAACTAATAACTGAAAGAAATTATGAAAACTTCTTAACATTTGAATGAAAATTTTCCAAGTAGGTTAAAACTTGATAATAAATTAGGACAACTTAAAAGGACCCATAAAAACATTTTGTTAATTAAATTAGTTTGTTAATTAATAACTCATAAAAGCATCTCTTATTTTTTTTTTTTTTTTCGAAGCATAAATAAAGATACGTATGTAAACAATTATAAACTTATTTTTTTTCTTACTGCAGCTTGACATTTGATGGCGCTTTGATTCTGATAAAGCTTGTAGCCTAGAAATATCATCATGGATTGCAGATGCTCATCAGGTCGCGTTATAAATTTTCAATTGTGAAAAAAAGCTGCTGACATACGAATGCATTTTAGAACAAAGAGATTCTTAATGCAAAAATTCTTAACTGAACGTATTTGTTTTTTGAAAAGTACGAATAAAAATTAACGAAATCTATATCTCCAAATCTCTGAATAAGATTTATATCGTACAGTAAATTAGTTAGCTCCATTTATAGATTTTTTGATGCACTCTTAATGGTAATGAAAATAATGTAAACTCAGACTTCAAATAATTTCAATCTTGAAGTCTTTGTAACAAAGTCATAATTGAACAAATTGAACTTTGTAACAAATTCTTCGCGGGCAGCATAAAATTGCTTTGGGGGCTGCATGTAGCCCGCAAATTTTAGACCACTGCTCTATGTGGCTTCACGTTATTGTACATAAAATAAAGTCCTCTCCAACAGCTCCCCAGAAAGGTTTCATATAAGGTTCAAGAATCTTATTCCTGGACTGCTGTGCAGTTCCAATGCCTGCATCGAACACACGTAGTGGTCCACGACTATTCCACATGATATCTCTCCACACAAGGATTTCACTTCAACAAAAATGGTCAATTTCTTTTTATGCTGAAGAGGCGATAGCTTGCTTTTCTAAGGTTCTTTTTTTCCCCTAGACTCGTAGAGACTCTTAGACAATCACTCTGTGCACTGAATTTTGACTTATCACGAAAAAGGGCATGTCTGCAGTCTTGGTATGCTTAAGAATCGTGTGTCTGGCTCTTTGGTGGCCATTAAGCGATCTGCTAAAGGAGACACTATTTAAGATCACTGCGGGTACAGGACATCTTTTGTTTACGTTGCGTACTATTAAGTATATAGTTGCCTGGAAGTTGTTGTTGTAGGAGCACCAGAAGATCCTTTAGTCTCATACTTTCTTATGACACCGTGATTCAGTGCCACGTATATATCCTCCGGAAGACTTGTGGCTTTTGGAAAGCCTTTGAGGAGACTTATAGTGATGATGTGCGTAGTTTGAAATTAGTGCTATAACCTGGATGTCATAAATCAAGACACTCGTAACCATAGAGCGATCTTCGGTTGAGATTCACTAGCTCGACGCCTGCAGTTGTTTCTCCATCTCATCCTATCGAGTGAAGAATTCATTTTAAATAAAACAATCAATTTTATATATTATATGATTATAATACGCGCTGCTTGAAAGCGATGCGATGATAGAAGAAACCGGTACTTTTAACATCTGGCAGTCGTAAAAGCTGAGTGTAGAGGCAATGAAGACGAAGCTGACAAACAAAACTGAATTCGAAGATTCATAATATTTATTTTGTCGCACATCTTTTTTTTTTTTTTTTTTAATTTTTTTTAAGACAAGGTATTTTATTTTTCAATCATAGTTAACTGCAATATGTACACGGGTTAAAAACAATACTACGTTATATTAGGTAACAAAGAAGGACAGTTAAGCATAGCAGCGCAGAGATGTTTTGCAGGGCAGGAGAAGTTAAGAAAAGATGACGTAATTGCTCGCGAAGCAGTATTTATACTAGGCCAGTGCATATAAAATTGGTTGATCTCTTCGCTTAAGTATATACTGTAAGAAAGACGAATATAGACAAATCTCACATATTCAGAAGGCATTTATTTTCACGTTTTCTTAAAAAACGTATTCTTTTAACCTTAACCTTGTAAGCTATTATTTTAAACTAACTAGTTATTCTGAATATCCCTGTGTACTTCTTCTTTCCGTACTCTTCATCAGAATGCAAAGATAATCAGAATTTAAACTGAGATTTTTGTAGCTTGTAGTCTGTGGCTTCACGTGCGCGCTACATGTTAGTTTCCTGCGAGTTCTGTTGTTTGTAATTAGTCGACCTTTTGCTATATCACTGCTGATATTTTGATTTTGATGCTTCGGTAGAATTACTGAGCCAGCTTCGAGTAATGGTTAACTGTGTGGCTAAGATACAATAACACGGCGAAAAAGTATTAATTTAGAAGTCAAACAACAAAAATCAGAGTTATGTTTTCAAACTTCTAAATTAAGTTAACTGTGCAGTCTTTCACTAACCACAAACTTTTACAAGCCCCAGATACTTATATTACATTTACAGTTCTGCAAATTATATATAATTCAAGCTTTTAAAATATTAGCTGTAACTAATTAGAATTATTGTAAAAATAGGTTTGTAAATTTAATTTTAGACGCAGCATATTTCCATAATAAAAGTATATTTCCATTGAAAATTCGTAAGCAATTCATAATCGACATAGGTATCACACGTTTTACTTTAACCCAGGGTTTCTTAAACTTTCTGGCGTGGACACATCATAATATTTACGAAAATTTTGTGAGACCTAATAAGCATTGCGCAAATCCGACCCACGCGTTATTGAAACTGTTAGTTTCTTCACCTGTAATGTTATATACTATTGAAGTTTTAGGTCATTAACTTTAATTTTTAAAGTCAAGTAAACGTTTATATTGTTAAAAAAAAAAATGCATCGAAACGTTTTTGTTTCTTTGTCTGTATTATCTTGTCTTTTTCTATTTTCAGATACATTATGTAAGAATATTTGGTAATTGTAAAATTATTATAATAAGTTAAAAAAAATATCAAATTTGATAACATTTTTGGAGACCCCCTACTACATGTCCCGCGACCCCATTGGAGTTGCGACCCACAGTTTAAGAAACTCTAATTTAAACTATGCAATTTGAGCCATCGCAAGCTTCATTCCAAAGAAAAAAAAAAAAAAAACCGTTGCTTCAAATTCCTGGCCAACTGTTTTTTCGTACTTTAGAAATTTCACCACCAGAATCTTTCTAAAATTTTTGGAACGTTTTATTTCATTACAGTTCTAAGAATTTATTACACATACATCTTAGTACAGCACGAATATTGATTTGCCTGATACTTAGAACTTTTAACTTTTAATTGATGACCAACAGACTCGACGGTCACCACTGATTTACGGTTTAATTTTATTTTAATAATCTGTTTAAATTTATTGCACTATCCAGTGAAGTATGTGCTGTTTGTTGATGACGGTCAACTTTAGAAATCTCTCTACTTTTTATCAATGCTCATTACAAGCAACCGTAAACCCATAATGTAATGTCTTGAAAGTCACAGGAATTTTTTTTTTTTTTTCCCTTGTTTAATTTTCAAGTTAGAAACGTGCTTAGAGGAGCCCTTTCAAAATTTGTGAACTATTGTGTTATGATTACCTTGCAATCACGTTACATGCATGCGACTTGATAAGTGTTTCATTGCATGAAGCATAAATCTTTTAATTTTCCTTTCACGAGGCCTTGCCAATGGCCCATCCTTAAGGAGTTACCCTTTGAGAAAGATCTTTAATTTATGTTTAAAATTTAATCAATCTGTAGTAATTGCTTAACCTTTAAACTAAGCGATTTAAAAGTAAATAGCTTACGCCTTGATAATTTTTGTACCATACACCACGTCAAAGAAACCATACACCAAGTCAAATATACCACATACCAAGTCAAAGAAAGCACCGGCGACTTTCGATTTAATTTAATTTTAATAATCGATCTAGATATACTGCGCCATCACATATCCATAATCGCTGAACGCTGATCAATGGTGAAAAACAAACTTAATTTTAATAATGTATTTAAATGATATAATTTTGAACACATTTTAATTGCAGTATGACATTCGGATAATTTTTATGAACATTTTCAACATTATTTTAATTAATAAAAGTATTTCTCGAGCCATATATTACATCTGCTACAATTTTTTTAAACGCACTTCTTTTTTCTTTTTTATTTGTAGATACTTTACAATTATTCTCATGCTTCAATCTTTGAGGCCCCCCCTCCAAAAAAAAAGCGACTGGCAAACATTACACACGATTAGAAGTTAATATTGCTGTAAACTTGATTTTTGAACGGATAATATGCTAGAAAGCTAAATAAAGGTTTTTTTAAAAGTATCGAAATAAAAAGTAAGAAAACCAAAAGAGCTATTTTCAATAGGGCTAACGAAACATTTTTTGGTGAACACTTCTTTGAAAATTTTCGAAGTATACGTACATTTTCCACTGACTCTTTCTTTTTTCAGCCTCTAAAGAATCATTGTCGAAATACAGTGATTTCTTTCATGAGATGTGGTCAGACTTGCTGTTCGAAAGGGCGGTCATTTGCTCGACGCCGGATTTATCACCTCGTCATGATCTCCGCGTGAGCTCTCGATCACGGCACGCGCAACGGTCACGATCCTCTGTGGAATGACAAAAGATCGGTTAGCATCAAAGGCAGGAGCTCCTCAGTGGCCACGAGCAGCTTGACATGGGGGCGGACGAGGCCTAGCACAATCGTCCTTCCCGGTCCTTGTTCTGGTCACGTACACTGAGGCACGTGGTCAGAGAAACGGAAGAAAGAAAATGTCTTTGAACGTGATCCTACCCTTTCACCTGTTATTGTTTTGTTGCCTATTTCTGAAATCCTGACACGTAATGGAAGAATGCGAATGTTTCCAAAGGTGTCCGGAGGCATGAAAGTTACAGTGCTGAGAATTTCTGGATACTCCTGAAGGTACGTTCATCTTATAAAAATGTATATCGTGAAATTCCGATGAAGTCAATGCCATTAGTGTTATAAGCTGTAAAGTGATCCAATAACTTTCTGAAGACAAACACCTCCTTATTGTGATATAAAATTATATTAAACTAAGTAAAAAAATAAAGAAAGAAGACTTGAAATCTGACTTTTTAGATTACAGTACTTTGCCTGACGGCTAATAAAAACTTACATTTTTTGCAGTATTAAACGTGAGATTAAAAGATTGAAATTGAATTTACTTTAATAGTAAGAAATGTTTTGCTAAACATGTATGTGATGTGTAAGCTAAAAAGTAAAATTCGAAGATTATAACGCTTAGTTGGCAAACATATTATCAGGTGACTGGTAATCTATGAAAAACGAAGTACGTCATATTTATAAATGCGACTATTATGGTGCATAGTCACTAGACGTGTTGACAATACCTCTTAGTTTAACAAGTTGCGATTTTCCTTCTACAGTGACAACAATAATATCTGCATCCGGGTGTTTAAAAAAAGAAGCTATTTTAACAACCATCTTCGCAGATTCTTTGCTTAAACCTTTACTGAAAAGTTTGGTATTATTTAGGAATTAGAAAAAATCGATATAATTTTATTCAAACGTCCACACTTTATATCGTTTAGAATTGAATAAAACTTTGTCTATTTCGGGGGAAACAGACATAGGTCTCTTTTTCTTTTCAAGGAAAAATAAAAATTGATAAATTTTTTCAAAATATGCCTTAAGTCTTCTATTTCATTCGTGACCAATTGTTGGCCATTATGCGAGTTTTATTTTCATTTCGAATTCTAATATAACTGAATATTCTAAAACTGGATGGAAACAGACAAAGGCTATTGGATAAAAGCATGGATGGAAAAATAATTCTAGGATCGCAAAGCTGCTAAGTTGCTATTGCAATTGTCTCCTTTATTTAATCATCTAAGAAAGGATAACAAAAAAGTGGCATTGCTTAAAAACTCATTTCACAGCAATAGCTGTTACGAATCAAAGATAAGGAAACTTATAGAGACATTAGGTATTTTTTGGAAGCAGGCAAGATGAAAAATTAGTAACGCCTTCGCCGGATTTCGAGCCACGAACCTCTGTAATACGCGGCTGGCGTGCAGACCACCACACCACGAAGCATGCCAAGAAGGTGGGAGAAATACCTTATAACCTAAAATCGGAATTACTCTAAATACTAAATGCTTTTATAAAAATGTATAAAAAACCTGGTGTAGACCCACCTACGATTTTCTTGTATGGCCTATTAAATTATACCCCCTTTCTTTTCTGCACTTTAATTAAACTTATTCACTCAAATTTTTCTAATTTAATGAACCGATCCCTCAGTGCAAGTTGAAAATTTCATCAAAAATTGAAAATATTGGAGTTAAAATTCCCTCGATTTGTTATACGGAAGTAAATTTTTTTGTAATTTTATTTTTTCATGATGAGTATAAAATTTTCTGAATATAAATATAGAAACCGAAGGAGCTGATTAAAAGTTAGATTTCGCTATTTGTTTAAATTAAAAAAAAAAAAAATTAACTTATCCAAAACATGAATATTTTTGTCATTTAAAACACTTCTGTAATTTGAAGGATGTGATTAAGCGATTAACGATTGAGAAACTTAAGGCCGGGTAAGGGGGTGGGTATTTATGAATACTATTGGTATAGCCGATTGCAATAAAAAAGAGAGGTGCTCAACAACATGTTAGAGCAGTCCCATATATAAAATTTCAACTTTCTATAGCTAATCCTTTTTGAGTTATGCGAGACACATACGTACACTGCGCAAAAAAAAGGGGGGTTCGGGAGCAGTTCTACATCTCCCGCTGGTCCGATTGACTAAATTCAAATTACATATTTCAAATCAAGCCCAGTATTTCATGTTTCAAAAGCGCGACATAGGATATACATTAGATTTATATATAGCATTGCTATAACACAGGAATTTTGCAAATGACTTTTGCAGTTTGGCAACTGAGGAAGATGCTTCTCTAGTTAAACCATCGAAACTAGTCCTGGAAAATTTACAAATAAAACGCTGATTTTGTTGTTTAATTTTTAAAATAATACGTTTACTATTTGGCAATGCTATTTTTATTTCATACTTTTTCGATTTACAAATTTTTGGTTAGCAGACTCTACGATTTGAAAGCGAGCAGTGGCAACGCTTTTTGAAATAAAGAAGATATTTATCTTCAGCGCTCGAGACTATTGCTATTCGGAAAAATTAGTGCCAAAATGAGCGTTTTCAGTGTTTTTAATTAATCGGCTAATTAAAGTAGTACGAAGATGAGAACGGTCAAAACGGCTTCCCACAAATTTTTGGAATCTAGGAGTACCTCTCTCGAAACTCAACTCCCCGCCGTTCCGGAGGTGATAATGCCACAAACAAACAAAGAGATAGACGCGCACAGATTTTTGTTAGTTTGGATTATATTAGTCGCAGCTAGCAACTTCGCATACAGTGCATTAAATTAATAGTTTTCATTCATTTTATTTTTAGTATACAGAGCTTATAAATATTGCTTTGGCAACAGCCCACTCATCTGAAGCACTTGCCCGCTAGTACACTATAAAAACTGTATTAAAATAATGAAATAGGTGTATTCGTTTCTCCTGTATGTTGCTAGACCAGAATGCTTTCTTTCTACGATTTAAAATCCGAATATCAATAAACATGAAGTAATTAGCAGCTGTCTTAATTATATTTTTCATTCATTCTACAGACAATAAGAGAGACCCATAACTTAAATATATATTTTTACTTCGAATAACTGTTTGAAAATAAAATTGTTGTAATTATGAAATTTGTAAACAGGAAAATCTGAACGTAGTGCATTGTGCTCAGAAAGAAAGAAAAAAAATCCTTCGCCGATAATTGGAAACATAAACATAATTGGAAAATTGAATAATAGACAACTTTTTAGAAATCAGCGAAGACATAGGTCCAAAAAATAAACTTCGTGATGATGTAATTGCCACAATAAAGAGAAGTCAACATGAGAAAGAAAAAAAAAAAAAAAAAAAAAACACGCATCCAATCATTGAAGGAGTTTCAAAAATCTAGATCCAATGAGGAAAACGATATGAAGAAAGTCAAGCATTGTAAATACGCATTGCCATTTTCCAGCAACAAAAAAGAACACTAAAAACATTTCCTCATTAGAGCTCTTCTTCTTAGGTACAAAAGGCAATAAAGTTTGTTATTATTACTATGACAGCATTCTTCTCTACCTTAGAGATCTTATATTACTAGCTTAGGGAACAGTTTATGTCACTGCGTTCTACTATTCGCTACTTTGTTTGAAGCATCTGTTAAAAATAATAAGTGTTCGAATTGTTCTTTGATGCAGAGAATTCTTAAAGACGCTCTTTTTTTTGTTTCTTTTTTCAGTATCAGGCTTCGCCCTTAGGCAAGCATTTAAGTTCCTGCTTTTGTTGCATAGAGGGACGCAAAGCAAGTCTATTATCAATTGCTGCTTTAATTAAGGGTTTTTATTCTTTCCAGATGTATCAAAAAGAAAAATTTTTTTAATGTAAATTTCAAGTACGAAGATGAAGAAATGACATACAGGGGCAAATCATCGTAGGAACAAGGCAATTTCCGAGTAAGCAAGCATTGCAACAAAATGAAAGTGTATTGAAAAGTTTGTCTTCGGAAACGAATGAATGCAGGCCCTTGAGATTAGCAGGGATAATTCTTCATTTCAAAAGTCAAATTCAAGATGAAAGAAAAAAAGAGCACATGCAGTGCAAAAAACGAAACATCCAAAAAAAGTATCAAACCATTTTAAATTCGATTAAGTTTTTAAAGTGGAGTGACTAGGAATAATTTTTCTGTCCGTAAAATATTTAAAAACAACATATCTTTAGAATTTCCGACAGACAGAACGGAAATTTTATCCCCAGTACAGTCTCGTGTACTGGAGACAATTTTTTTTCCTTCGTACTGTGTTGCCATTGCTTGCTTTGAAATCGTTGAGTTTGCTAATCAAAAATTTTTCAATATTTGACAAAATATGAAATAGATAATAAAACAAATTACAAATTCTAAACCCGGGCTTCCAGGTGCTCATATTCGGGTGGAGGACTGCTTGAAATTTGATGGTCCTAGGTACCGTTGTTTTTTCGCAATGGTAGAAACATGCATACATTCATACAGATTCTGCATTATTTAATTTCTTTAAATATAATAAAGGGCGATAATGTTTGGTGGCAACAATTTTAAAAGTAATATAGCGCTTTTAATGATTCAACGCAAAATGCCGTTCCGAAACTAATAGCCTTTCTGGGCAAACGCCCGTTTGGGATAAAAATTTCAAACCGAATGGAAATTTAATATTAAAACTTTTGCTTCTTTAAACGATTAGCCCACGTATTTATTAATTAGGATATTTTACCTTCGGAGTCTGGAAAATTCCTGTCCTAAGCGACAGCTGTAATTTTTATATAATTCAACGTCTATACGAGGTGGAACGATCTATAATGGTGCAAAAGTTCTTCTTTCTAATTATACACAAATTTATACGTAAAAGTATGGAAGCTGAATATTTGATATTTAAAAAAAAATCAAAATTAAAGACATGAGAAATTACGTGAAACTTTTAGA